GAGGGAGAGAGAGAGAATCAATGAAAGAGAGAGAGAAAGAGAGAGAAGAGAGAAAGGAGAAAAAAAGAGAGAAGAGAGAGAGGAGAGAGAGAAAAAGGAGAAAGAGAGAAGAGGGAGGAAGGGAGGGAGAGGTTTATTTTTAAATGAAAGAACGTTGAATTCTGGCACTTGGGTTCATGTATGGATTGAAGTAAGACTGCTTTGTCCACGTGAAAATTGTCGTGGGACAGGAAGAAAGCCAAGATGAGTACCCGGGAGGGAAGACGCTGGGCAGATTGAAGAGATGTCACAGTGGGATAAGCCAGATTGATATATGGAGGCATCTTAGAGCGGTAAAGAAGAGAAAGTGGGAGAAGCAACCAGGGAAGGCAGGCTGACGGACGATGCTACGTTGAAGTATCAACTAAGGATAGCAAGGGAAGACACGGACAACGTGTCAACAAGCTCCTTAGGGGAAGGGGTGCCTTGCCCTACTCAAAGTCCTGCCTGGATTTGGCTTCATGGAAAACCTGACAGATCCAAGGCTTTCTGATTTTCAGTTCTTCCAAAGTCCTCACCCGAAGGTGGTTTTCCAAAAGGCAACTGGGTTTTGTTTATCCTTGAAGACATTTCGCTTCTTCCTCCAAGACGCTCCCTCAGTTCTGAAGAAGTTTCTCGGATGAGCACCGAAGCGTCTACAAGAAACGACGAAGTCGAGTTGCCTTTTGGAAAAGCGCCTTTGGAACAATCCACAGACACTTCCAAGTCCTAAAAACGCAATTCGGCAGCATCTCGTGACAGCGACAGTTTCTTTGCCGCTTTGGGGGAAAAAAAATAAATAAAACTTCTCTCCCATTTCATGCCACGCACACTCTTGCTCATTATTGCTGCAATGTAAAACACAAAGGAATCAATTTTTATTTTTGGTCACTGTGCCCGCTCGGCCCTATCCTGCACTCCCCAACACACACACACACACACGCACCCTTCAGTGGCACATAATCTTGGCTGTCATTTGAGTTTTTAATTGTGTTGTTTCCTCTGGTGTGCCGAAGTAAATCTTATCTGTTTGGGATTAAAATTCAATGAAGGTCAAGGCGGCTGGAGAATTTACCAGCCAGCTGCAATTAATGTTTGTTTTGCCTTTGATAAATTGGATCGCTTCCCTTCTCTGGAAGCGGAGTGGATTTCAGGAGCTGTAATTCTTCCATTAACTCAACGATTTCCCTAGCATGAGAAAGCAACCTGTCACTTCCCCAGTTTGTCAGCTGTCATTTCAAGGTCCTGGGCATATGTCTGATATGTTTTATGATGATTATTTGGGCTTCTTGTGTCAAAACATTTAAAGCCACTAATTAGTCTTTTCATGCAAAGTGTTGGATTAAACAGAATGTGTCGTTCAGTCGCCTTGCCGCTTCCTATCTCCCTCCCCCCACCTGCTTAATTACACTTCCCGCCATTATAAAGGCTTGCTGAGGGTTTGGTTTATTTGCCTGTGAGATTTGCTCCCGTCGTTTCTGAGACAAAAGTAGAATTGAAGGATTTTGCGCTGATGTTGCCCGTCAGACAGGTTGGTGACAGGATGAGCTATTTCTAGGACTGTTACTTGAATTCTATTGCATTTCTCTTCAAACATGCATGAGAGAGAGGGCGGAAGAGGGGGAGGGAGAGAGGGAGGGAGGGAGAGAGAGGGGGAAGAGGGGAGAGGGA